AAAAAAAAAAAAAAAAAATGTGCATGTAGTAACAACTTTCACAATCATGAAAACCAATGGCCGAAGACAACTTCATTCAACACTTTAAGATTCGCCCTGTACCAGTTATCAAATGCTATTCCAGATAATAGCACTAGTCCTAATACAAATTCTTGGAGGACCCCAAAATCTGCTTTGTTTGTGAGAATTCTGTTTATTTTGTGAGAATTTGGTAGAAAATACACTGAAATTTTGAAAATTCTATCAGATGATGGAACCTCTACAAGGTTTTTTCCCCAACTGTGAAAAATAAAATAACCACAGTGAAGTGAAGCAAATTGGGCCAAAAATGAAATTCCTAATTTCATTCCTATCAGATCTCTCTCTCTCTCTCTCTCTCTCTCTCTCATCTGAACTATCAGGAAAGAGAAATCTGGGACAGTTCAGTGCAAAACAGCAAAGATGGCCAACAGATCCCATGCTTTTGAGTATTCAGAAAAGGATGAAAATGAAATAATTGAGAAAGAGAACAAGGGATTGAATGCTTAGAGCAGCATTTTTTGACTATACAGTGTTTTTGTCGTTTGGAAAAATGATCACTGTGGGAGTGGAGGAGACACACATGGTGGAATATTATAAAATTAAGTCCATGATTGAATTAAATGTTTGCTTTTTCTGTTATCATTTAAGAATCGCCTATCAAAATTGGCTGGCAACAGATTCAGGACAAAAGAAAATGGTCCCTTAAGGAATTTACTGTCTCCAAAAAATTTAAATAGCTTTTAAAGGGGGATTGAACAAACACATAGTAGAGAATAAAACTATCAGCAGCTAGATAGGAGCAAACTGGGAGTGTGGTGGTGGGTGAGGAGAAGAATCATTGCTGAGATCCTCTGCTTGTGCACTTTCCAGAAATAGTTTGTTGGCCATGGTCCTGGATTAGAAAGATCCTTGCCCCAAACCATTAGAGTTCCTTTTACGTTGTTACGCAGCTCCTTAAGAGGTCCCTGCATCTGCACTGGGATAATGTGATCAGGGGCTCCCTGATACCCCTCTTTACGTATTATCTTTCCTAAGAATGTAGCCTGCTTCTTCTTCCACTTTTCCTAACATGTTTCTTGTCTTCTGGATACAAGATGAACATTTGACATGATGTTTGGATTCTGAGCAGTGAAATAATATTGATGATTAAGGGACTTGTCATCTATCATTTACCTGAATTGCTTTTTCAGTTTCACTTCTGTAGCTATTTGAGGGCCATTTAAGAACTGCAGATGAAATGAGTAAAGAGTCTCTTCCCATCTCTTTTGGCAAGGGGTTAATCAGGAACCCTTCCATGCAATGCGGGGATCACATCAGAGTACTTCTATCTTGAGCAGAACAAAGAAAATGGAGAAGCAGCACCTCTGAGCTTCAGGTTCTACCACAAAGTGTTGCTGATACCAACAAGTCAGTAGAAATTGCAACTTTATCACAAAAGGCAAGACCCCAAAGAAGGAGGAGGTTTGAATATTAAATGAAGAGACACACTGACTTTGAGCAGAGGCCTCATCCAAAGCTCCTTGAGAAAAAGCTAAGAAAGAAACAGAACGCTTGAAAGGAGAGGAATGAAGACACAGAACTAAGCAAGAAGGAAGAGGTACCTTTTCTGACAGCCATTAGGGAAAGGGCCATAACGAACACCACCACCAAATCCATTTCTCTTGAGTGTATATTACAAACAAAGATCTTCAGAGTTGGGCAAAGAAAAATCCCCAGCATGCTGTGTAGTTCATTCTCCTGACGTTGTAACTAATTTCCATATAGCAACATCCCTCACTCACTTGTGGTTTCGCTCGTCAAGAAGCTGTCGATATGGTCCTAGTCTTGGTGGCAGCTCAGAGAAGCTGAAAAATACAGCCGAATGAGATAACAGCATTCAGAGGCTGGAGGAAGAAACAAAAATAAAACCCTTCTGAAATGATACTGGAGATCAAGATGCTACAGAGGACTCCTTCCAGGAGAAGCAGAGTGTAACAAGATACAAAGAACAAGGCCTTGATACTTTTACGTTGTTCTTTTTTTCAGAACTGCATGATTCAGCTGTTGTTTTTCCTCTACAATGAACGTGTTCCCTTTTCTTCTGATGGGGTGAATTTCAGTGAAGATTGTTGAGATTATAAAATTCTATGCATTATTTTTGAACCAGCTGTTTCCACATTTGTGTCATCTGATTCATCGTGTCCTTAGTTTGACTAATTCCCTGTCATAAAACTCAGCAGAAACCATCTGGGCACTAGCTGAAAAAGATGGGCACTTTTTAAAGCTGGAATATCTTTTGGCAATTTCTGAAGATCCTTCAGCTCTACTGAGTAAAATCAATTCAGCACAATCCTCCCTCCTTAATGATTTCCTTTTTTGTAGTATCATTTCCACTGGACTGCACATGCAGTGACTTTTGATCTGGTGCTTTTAACCAGATAAATCAGAAAACACAGCATGCCCGCAAAAAGTGTCGCAAAAGCCCGCAAAAATATAGTTTTAATTCTAACTTTAGCCTCTAGTCCTCTGCACAAAATCCCAGGAAGTTTTGAAATGCTGCCCTCTAATGGAACTCTATCAGTACTACAGAAATATATGGGGGAGGGCTAAGCTGGAAGGTTGACAGGTTGAACCCTATACATGTTCGATCCACCTGCTCCGGAACACACCTCTATCTATTGTACAATGGCCAGTGCAAAGCAGTGGTAACATATTACAAGCTGTGAGAGGCTCTGTTGTCTCCTCATCATCCCATTTTTCTCTCTTGTGTGCCTCAGTGTCAGATACCGCTCACACTCCAGTATGTGGGAGACTACCTGCTGCATCCCTCCCTCTCAGCTTGTTTTTAGAAGCCCATGGAATACTATTTTCTGCTCAGGATTTGCTGGGTTAACATGTTTACAGGACTTGCCAAAGGTGGTCTCTCTGCAAATCCTCCATGTGTTTGGAATGCAGGGACGACAAGGGCAATGGGGAGAAAACACAGAATGGGTTTGATTGAAAGCGGGGAGGGCTGTAGCAGGGCTCAGTGTGAAAGATGCATCTGCTCAGTTGCAATGAATAGAGCTCAGGAATTTCCAGTTGCACTTAATTTATCATTATTGGATTATAACAGATGGGCTTTAATCTCAGGACAGGTGCTGGTAACTGGGTATACTGTTCTTGCACAGTTCTACCTTTTGGACTCTTATTGTAATCTCCAAAGGGGAACTCATGTGGAAGAGTATGTAAGCCATATGCTGCACACATCCAAAGCCATGGACCTGGCCAATGCCGTTCCCATAGGACGTTCATGCAGAGGGCAAATAAATAAAATAGGAACAGGAGGGACTTTTTAAAAAAGAACTGTATTAAATTTTAAAAAGCAAAAGGATAAAAGCAAACAAGAACTAATAATCAAGAAGAAGAGTAGAAAGCAAGAAAAGCAAGCAAGCAAGCAAGAAAGAAAGAAAGAAAGCAAAAGTGGTAGAAAATAGAAAAAAAGAAGAGGAAAAAAGAAATACAAAAGAATAACTTCTGACCTCTTATACAGCAGATATAAATGAATCATATAATAACCTCTTACTCTAAAACTACATCTTGACATACATATTTTGTTTAATCTATTAATTTAACTAATCATTAAATCCATATATCATAATTTCATTTTTTTCTGTTTCCTGCAAAAACATCCAAAGGGAGCTCCCAACTGGCATTAAAGTTAATCAGTGTTTTTTCTCTAAGCAAAGCTGTCAATTTCGCCATCTCGGTTAACTCCATCAACTTCACCACCCATTCTTCCTTTGTAGATAATGTTGAATCTCCTGAAAGATTCGGGACAGGAGGCACTTATGTCAGTGAGTCCTTTCAAACTTTAACAAAATGACTTCAGGATCTGGTTCTGGGCCTGGGCCTGGGGCTCCAAGTGTGTGCAGGGACCCACTTCTTGGTTGTGTTAGTGATTTCTTGGCTGCCTGTATTTTAATTTTTATAATGTTTTTATTGTTTTTATTTTATTTTAATTCTGTTCACTGCCCAGACTCACTCGATGAGATGGGGGGCTATATAAATTGGATAAAGAAATAAATAGAAATAATCTGTGCCAATTTCATATATAACAAATTCCCACAGCTATTATTTAAAGAACAAGAAGAATCACTTCAGTCAGATATGTCTAAGAGGTTTTCCTCAGAAGAGATTTACAGCTTCACCAGAATTGCCTGAAAATCCCAGTGTTACCTTTTTGGTCTCTTGACACCAATCTTCTCTCATCCTTTTTTTTTTTTAATCTGCGCTCAGTCGTTACCGACTCTGCAGTGACTGCTTGGACGAGTCCTTGCAGTTTTCAAGGCAAGGTAAATCCCAGTGTTACCTTTTTGGTCTCTTGACACCAATCTTCTCTCATCCTTTTTTTTTTTTAATCTGCGCTCAGTCGTTACCGACTCTGCAGTGACTGCTTGGACGAGTCCTTGCAGTTTTCAAGGCAAGGTGTTTTGGAAGTGGTTTGCCAGAGCCTCCTTCCTAGAGCAGAGCCCAGCTGGCGAGCGCAGGAGGCGGGGTTTCCATTGCTTTGCGCCCTTTTTGGGCGTGCACGGTTTTTTGCGCTTACCGGCAACTGCTCCCGACTCCTTCTGCAAGGCGCCACCAGCTTTTTTCCTCCCACCGGAGTGAGAGTCCCCGTTTACTGTATCTACTCACGTGAGTTTTCGAACTGTTGGGTTGACAGGAACTGGGGAGGAAACAGGAGCTCACCCTGTTAATGCGAAGGCTGGACTCGAACCGCTGAAGCGTCGACCGTTTCTGGCCGGCAACTTTCAGCGTTATTAAGCCTCTGTGCCACTGCATCCCCCTCTCATCCTTAGGCCATGGTTTAAATAATGCAATCCCACTGGTTTAACTATTACAAATTAACCAATTTTTTTTCCTATTCAACATAGAACCATGATGGGAAAAAACATGGTAACTTTGCCTCTTTGCAATCTGACTTTTGAGAGAGTTAGATTCATGTGCCAGATCAACTTTGATTTTAATTGGTAGATTCTCATGCCCAGATGACACTGACACAAAGAGCATATCTTACAAAAAAGAAATGTGGGAAGTATGTGCCCCTGGTTGTTCTTCAGCCAATCCCCACCTTCAATATATACCACCTCCCCCATGTGTTGCCCAGAACCTGCCTCAGTGAAGAATTTTGACTTGCTCACCAATCAACCACACAGTGTGATAAAGTCCTCTGGAGGAGTGGTGATCAGCCTTGAGAAAGTTCGAGGCAGAGCAGAGGCAGTCGGTTTTGATGAGTGGCTTGTTTCAATATCAGGAGCTTCTGTTTTCTGTGCATGTGCTAAACATGTGCTCTGTGGGTATTCAGCAAAGCAATCCACCCACTCCCTTTTGCAGTTTAGAAGTGGGACTCCACTTTGCTTTTTAGTTTTGCTTCAAAAGGGGCACTTTGCTCAACTTACAAAAAGCAAAGCATATTCTTCAAAGATCTGCACTGCCTTAGCAGACAACACACATTTGATTTAGCCAGTCCCCGGTGCTATAAAGTAGGAACAAGACTACAGATAACTAGACCAGCAGTGACTGGGTTTTGTTAAGTTTGGCTGGTGAGGAAGGGCTCCAAAAACCAAGAAGGTTCACCTTCTCCTGAATCTTCAAAGCAGTGTTTTTTCACCTTGGCAACTTTAAGATGTGTGGACCTCAACTCCTGGAATTCCCCAGCACACTGGCTAAAGAATTCTGGGAGTTGAAGTCCCCACATCTTAAGGTTGCCAAGGTTGAAAAACACTGCTATAAAGCTCCTGATTATGATCTATTAGCTCAGTCAGGGAAATTGCCTACTGGGCATTCACACAACTGATTTAATATTTTGCCTGTTTATCTGCATTCCTTCCTGCCTGGGTGCTTGCCTGCTTCTTAACTCAAAGATCTATTGCCTCAACTATCAAGTCTTGACACTGTGAGTGAAGAAAATCTCATTTGGAGAGAGGAAAAATGCCTTTTTGAAGCACTTAATAGAAAAATGTGGAACGCAAAAGAAATGGAAACATTGTGAGATATGGAAAGTAGAACATATAACATCAACATTTTCTTCCACCTGTCCCAATTTTTCCCATTTTGTTGTCCTCTAGATACTTTGAATTACTACTCAGAATTGTCCACCCAGTGTGACCAATCATTCTGCTGACTGGAAATTTTGGGAGTTATAGTCCAAGATATCTGAGGAGTACCAGACTGGGGAAAGCTATAAGTTCCAGACTATAAATTGGACTGATGGACTATAAGTCCAGATTAATCCAGTACATCTTGAATCATACTGCAGCAAGTAACTGATATTGTCCAGTCCATAGTTTTGTAAACTTGCTTGACTTCTGCCTTCATGAAACAGATGTGGGTATAATATTGGCACAGTAGTTCATGATTGACTCTAAATTAGCATGAGACGGTTCCTTGCCAAATTATCTAAAGATCAGTTATTAGTGCAGCTATCATTAATTTGGTCCTAGGCTATGCAGGATTATAGATTTTGTACCAATAGGGACACCTCCCCAGTAACATACAATCTGTTTTGACAGCATCAAGCTGTTTGGATGTAACTCAGCCAGAATGAAGAGCAGCCTTTGCCAAGTGGTGGTTTGGGATGCTACTTCCATGTCAGATGTTTTCCCCCTCCCACTTCATCTTCCTTATTTAAATTAGTTCAGAACATGACTG